ATAGTGATACTGCCTCGGAAACCCAAGGAGGGGTCGCTATGAGTCTGGTCCGACTCGATGGCACATAACAACAACAAGAAGCACTTGGTACAGTACCTGGCCATAGTAGGCATTCAGCAGTTTTGTTGAATGAATGAGCAAATGAAGAGGCTCTTATTACTGCCCACATGAAAAATCCTGTGTTACAGTGCCTGGGGGGTTTGACCTTGCCTTGAGAGCCACATAGAGCAGTCAATGTGCTGGCTTGTGAGAGTGAAATCTTCACAGATCCCCTTAAAGGAAAGCTGACGTTTCACCGTATACATTTGCTCTTCTTTAGCAGCAGTGTGCAGGTCTGATTATATAGTAGAATCACCTGGGGTGTTTCCACAGAGATGCCTGTGCCCTACCTCAGACTGATTAAGTCAGGATCTTCAAAGGGAGGCCTGAGATCATTTATTTTTCTTTTTAGAACTCCCCCGGTGATTCTAAAATCAGCCAGGATTGAGATCCACAGTTGCTTTTGTTCATGGTAACTAAATAGGCTTTTAACTGTGTCAGCTATAAATGATTAAGCTTGCAGTCTAAATGTTTATTATTGCTACATTGTAATTATATCCATGATTTCGTCTCTCTCTTTCTCTGTTGCATGTCTTTAAAATAAAAGACTTTTTTACATCTTTATAAACAGAGCTAGCAAACTAAGAACATTTACCATGGAGGAAAACAGAATTGTGGAATTCTAGGGGTGGTAGTGGCAAACAGCCACTCATAAATCACACCACTCTTTAAGTGCTGGAGTTAGGGGAGAGTTTCGGTGTGACTATTCTTTTTTCTCTCTCTGGCACATGTGTTCAGTCTGCACATCTTAGCAACTGACACCTAATAAATTCTGCCACATACATCATTTTATAAGAAATATGCTACAGTGAGCAGTTTGTTTCTAGTCGGAAACCAGAGAACTTAGTCTAAAGTAAAATTTTACTTTTTTGCCGTAAGGCATACAACCCTCTTAAATAAATCTTGTTTCCAAACTTTAATCCTTCTGGAATAAACTTTGTATGTCACATTTCATTTGGTTTGTGATGTCAAACACATTTTATTCAAGGTTGGAGGAAATACTTGTAAACCAAAGTAAATAAATATTAATGATTGTGTAAGTCAGTGGTTCTCAAATGGGGGTGACTGTGCCACTCAGGACATTTGACAATGTTTGGAGACATTTTTGGTTGTCCAAACTGGTGTGTTGGGGGGAGGGGGTGGGAATGGCGTGGTGACAAAATTGTAATGATCATTGGTTTCCAGAAGCTGGGATTGAGGTGGGTGTGACTATTAAGGGGTAACACAAGAGAGGTGGGGTTTTTTAAGTTTTCTTTTTTTCTATGGTGATGGAGTGGTTCTGTATTCTGATTGTGATGATTACATGAACTACACACACACACAAGAATATATAAAAACTAGTGAAATCCGAATAAAATGTGTACATCAGTGTGTTAGCCTGGGTTCTCTAGAGAAACAAAAACCAGCAAAGCTTATATGTACAGAGAGAGAGAGAGAGAAATTTATCTTAAGAAAATGGCTTACACACATATAGAAGCCAGCCAGTCCAAAGTTCCTGGATCAAACATCAAGCTGGAGGCTTTTCCCGGCTCCCGCAACTGCAGGGGCCAAGGAGCTCAAGGCTGGCAGGCAGTACACCAGCTGTTGACGCTAACGAATGATGAATCCAGTATCTCCAGGCTGAACGGTGGACTGCTCACTCACGGACAGTTGTAGGCAGCACAACAGAATCCCAATCCGCAGAAGAATGCCTCTCTTCCCAGGATGTCCCTGGATATACTGGAAGCAGGCCACACCCCTAGGGAAACTCCCCTTCAACAGATTGGCCACTCAGAACACAGTCATCCGATCCCATCATGGGAACAACCACACAGAACTGGGGTCCAGCCAGTTGACACACAGCTCCAACTATAACAGTCAGTTAATGGCATTGGGCCAATGTCAGTTTCCGGTTTTGACAACGTACTATTTGTGCTCATGAGGAACCGGTACATACACTAGGAGGCTGTCCTTCTAATAGAACAAGTGGATACTGCATGGTTTAAAATCAGGAAGAGGGTACGTTAGGATTGTATCCTTTCATCACACCTATTCAATCTGGATGCTGAGCAAATAATCCAAGAAGCTGGACCATATGAAGGAGAATGTGGCGTCAGGGTTGGAGGAAAACTCACTAACAGCCTGCAATATGCAGATGACACAACTTTGCTTGCTGAAAGTGAAGATGACTTGAAGCACTTACTGATGAAGAGTAATATAGTCTGCAGTATGAATTACACCTTAACATAAAGAAAATGAAAATCCTCACAACTGGACCAATAAGCAGCATCATGATAAAGAGAAAAGATTAAAGTTGTCAAAGATTTCTTATTACCTGGTTCCACAATCAATACCAAAGCAGCAGTCAAGAAATCAGACAATGTATTGCACTGGGCAAATCTGCTGCAAAAAAACCTCTTTAAAGTGTTGAAGAGCAAAGATGTCTCTTTGAAGACTAAGGTGCACCTAACCCAAGCCATGGTATTTTTAATCACCTCAAATGCATGTGAAATCTGGATAAAGAATAAGGAAGACCAAAGAAGAATTGATGGCAAAGAATAGTGAAAGTGCCATGGACTGCCAGAAGAACTAACAAATCTATCCTGAAAGTGCAGCCGGAATGCTCGTTGGAAGCAAGAATGGCCAGACTTCATCTCATCTACTTTGGTCATGTTGTCAGAAGGGACCATTCCCTGGAAAAGGATATCACGCTTGGTAAAGTGGAGGGTCAGCGAAGAAGGGGAAGGCCCTCAATGAGATGGATTGACACAGTGACTGCAACAGTGAGCTCAGTTATAAGTGTTGTGCTGGTGCAGGACTGGGGAGTGTTTTGTTCCATTGTATATGGGTTGCTATGAGTCAGAGGCGAGTCAATGGCACCCACCAACAACTGTGGTTCTGTAAGAGAGTATCAATGGAGGAAGCTGAGTGAAAGGTACATGAGTACTCTGTACTATTCTTGTAATTTCCTGTGACTCTTAAATATATCAAAATAAAAAGTTATAAAAATTTTAGCCTTTAAGAGTAAATAAATAAATGAACTATGATGCATGAGACAGTATGTCTAAATTTCATAAACATTATTCTTAGTACTGTATAAATCCATTTATATGAACTCAAATTATATATATGAAAGTATATATGTATCTTTGTATGTGTGAGAAAAAAATAAAACAAGAGAATGATAAACATAAAAAAGCAAAGGTAATAGTAAACACTCATCACTTCCTGATTATTATTATTTTTTTAATTTTCTGTGGTTATGAGGTTATTTGTATCTATTATGTCCATATGATAGAAACAGTAAGTGTGGTGTGCTACTGCGTATTTCTTCCAACTCTGCATTCAGACTGGTCCCACTTGCTCATTTTACAAGTGAGGAAATCAAAAGCTCAGGAGAGAGACAAGGGCTAGAGGCATAGATCTGGGAGCCTTCTGTAGGTATGGATTAAAGTGGAGCCCATGGAAATGAAAGAGATGGTCCAGTGAGCCCTGGGAAATACTAACATATAAGGACCAGGCAGAGGAAGAGGAACCCAGGTATAAGATGTAAGGACAACTAGAGGAAGCTAGGAGAGAGTGAAATCACAGAAACCAAGAGAAGAAAGTGTGAAGAGAGATGTCCTCAGAGAGTCAGGTGTTAGAGATGTTCAAAAATAGAATGCCTTAGATGCATTTGTTGCATTTGACAATTTGAGATTGGTGGTGGCGTTAGAAAGCCTCATGGAGGGGGTATTTATTTCAGGACCCCTCTAGCCTGTATTCCATATTTTGGTCAATGGCACAACCATTCATTTACCTGCCCAGGTTGGAAATTGGGGAGTCATCCTAGAACCCTTTCTTTCTCCTTACATCTAGGTGGTCACCGAGACCTGTGGATGCTCTGCCTAAATAGTTCTGACTTCAGACCCTCCCCATTTCCATTACCCTCGTTCATTGCCTCTCTTATCTAGACTACCGTGGTTACTCTCTTCCCGCTAATCCAGTCCTGTTTGCAGAGTGATTTTTTTTCTGACGTGTATCGGATCATCTCACTTCCATGCTGGAAACCCACACACACAAACAGTAATGAAAAGATTTCCCATTCCCATAGCTGGTGTTTGTAACCTAGGATCCATGAACCTGATAAGATAGAATGAAAATTGTTTGTGGGCACACGCATGGAACATGCATCTTGAGAAAGGCATAGTTTGATTACACACTCAGAGAAGTGCAGGACCCAAAAATGTTTAATAATCAATGCCTGTAGTATAAATAAGGAGCTCTGGTAGTACAGTGGTTAAGGCATTTGGCTGTTAACCAGAAGGTTGGTGGTTCAAACCTATAAACTGCTTTGTGGGAGGAACATGAGGCAATCTACTTCCATAAAGATCTACAGCCTTGGAAACCCTATGGGTTGCTATGAGTCAGAGTCAACTTGATAGCAGTGGGTTTTGGTAGTCTAAATACCTTCTCTGCCCCAAACACAAAGACTTTTGTGAGCTGGCACCTGACTATGCATCCAATGCCATCTGCTACCACCCTCTTTCTCCTAGTTCTTTATAGACAAGCAAGGAAGATTTGTTTATAGCATCCAGAATGTGCTGTACTCTATCCCTTTTCCAGGTCTTTGGACGGATTGATCTTGCCTGAAGTCCAAGCCTATTCACTGCCTGCATTTCACCTTCAAGCACCACTTAAAGAACTCTTCTTAGACTCTTTCCCAGACCACCTTTGTTCCCTCCACTCCCACTGTGCCTTCTCGAATTCACTGTATTCTGTTGTAATTGTCAGTTTACAGGTCTTTCTGCCCACCTATATTGTAAACACCTTGAAGGATGTGGCTGTGTCTTTTCATTCATGTGTACACAGCACCTAACATAGCATCTGTCACGTAAGATGAACAAATCAAAGGAACAAATATGTGGACATTTCCCTTTTAGGTGCTCTTGATCAAACTACGGAATGGATAAAAGAGTCTGTAAATGAAGAATTACTTTCTCTTTCTGAAGCTGCTTTAACTCCTGGGGCCGAAGGTAGCTCCAAGCCAAGCCTGAGCCCTACATTGGTGCTAAATAACAGTTACTTGAAACTGTTACAGTGGGATTACCAGAAGAAAGAATTACCAGAGGTGAGTGATATTTTTTCTCCCCCCAGTTTTCCTGTATTTTAATTCTTAAGTTCTAACTGGGAGTCAGCAGGACTGTCTGTGTTGAATGTGTTTTAATGACTTCACTAAAATCAGATACAAATGCAAGTTTTGGCTTTCACATTTTATCTTACATTTTCATGAAACTGAGCTTCCTTTTCTATTTTTATATTTTAAATAAATATGCCAGACACTCATGACAGATGGAGCACGTCTTCAGGAACTGACAGAAAAGCTGAATCAATTGAAAATTATTGCCTGCTTGTCCTTAATTACCAATAACATGGTGGGTGCTGTTATAGAAGGTCTACCTGAATTTGCAAGTAGGTTCAAAAGGATTTCAGCTGTCCTACTGGAAGGCATGAACCAAGAGTAAGTGCCTGTCTGCTGCCCCTTTTATTAAGGCTCTACATGTGCTTCAAGAGCGTGAATAACCTTGGACATCTGGGTGTGGTAGTCAGGACTGTGCTTTAGCTTACCTTACACCTTCTTTTTCTAGAATTTCTTTTAGTATCTTTGAAGGTTTAGATGTCCTTTCATAGGAAGGGAGAGGTATTCCCACTTACAATGGATGTGAGCAAGAGCTGCTCTTTGACAGGGCTTTCAAAACCAAACCAAACTAAACCAAAAACCCACGTAGCTCAGTGTTTAGACTGTTCTGTCAAAGAAAGCTGTCCAGTTAAATTGCTCCAACTCCATCTTTATTCTGCAGTGAAATGCTTGCTTTACTGACTTCACAGAGCCAGCCTGCTATAAAGTCTTTAGAAGTAGTGACATTTCCGTCCTTCAGAGATGCTACAAACTCCAGGGAATGTCTTGCTTATACTAAATTTATTTCAAGTATCACACCATAATCAGTGATTAAGGCAGGAGAAAGCTAGGGTGATACCTTGTAGTGGATAAAAAGGCAGGAAGTAAAAATGTTGTCACAAATAATCTACCCTTGGATTATAGGACTCCAAAGAAAAGTCCAGTGTGGACTTATAACAGATTCCAGTCAAGTCAGAATATCAAGGATTTATTTATTATTGCTGTTATTGATAATAGTGACACATCTTTCTCTCTCTTTTTTCTTCTTATTAAGATTATGTGCCTGACAACCAGCTAAGAGCCTTATTATAGTCACATGGCAAGCTAGGGGTAGTAGAGTCAGGTTTGTGTGATGCCACAGCTGTGTTCTCACTCACTCCATTACATGGCCTCCTATCATCAGGTCACTCTCTCATCCTTTAATTCTCATTTTGTGCAGAGTTATCTTAAAGACCCTTTCTGGATTGTTGTTGTTGTTGTTATTTGCCATTGAGTCAGACCAACTCATAGCGACCCCTCCTTGGGTTTCCAAGGCAGTATCACTACAGAAGTAGATTGCCCCATCTTCCTTCCGAGGAGTGGCTGGTGGGTTTGA